TAATATTCTCAATGCTGCATTAGCAACATTGTATAAAAGTGGCTCAATAATTTTTGTTCGAACATCCGTATCAACCTTAGATGTCAATTGGTGAGTTCATTCTTTTATTGTATTATTAATTAAATATTCCATGTCATCTTGAGAAAAATCGCCTTGTCACGTATTGGTTTCTTGTTAAGCTTGCTGAGTTTTTTCCCTTTAATTTACTGACTTTATCATTAATACAACATTTCGTTTGCAAGCCAATATCCAAGATAGCTTTGGTACATCCTACAGCTTGTTGGTGTCAGTATGTGTGTGGGCGTTACAAAAAAAAGGCATACCCACACATTTCTTTGCATGTTGGCTGAAAGCAACGTTGAATGTAAAGAAAATGGCTACACATACTTCCGAGATAGAATAAACAAATAGAAAGCAAGAAAATGGCTTGTGTTCTACATCTATGAAGTTATTGCACAAGTCATATTGTAATGTTTTTTTTGTATGGTAAAAACTAACTTCCCTCTTCCTATCGATGCAACTACGAAAATCAACCAGTTTGGTGCATGAATGCTTTCTTTTATTACGGATAGTATTTTTTCAAGACATTCACATTGAGTGATCAATAATATGCATGTCATTCTCAAGCAATGGTACAGTCAAGAATTTTCGAGTATCGAAAACAAAAACTGTTTGAGATGTGCAAAAATTTTCCTTGGATAATCGCTTCTTCGCTCCTGTCCCAAGCAGTGACTACACCGCTGTTATCAGCATTCATCTTTTCACTAACGACTATATTTTACTTTTAGTTTTCGAATGTCGACATAAAGTAATCATACTCTGTCTTATCTTGTTGCAACGATTCTCTTTACTGCTTTACCTTCAGAAAAAAAAGAAAGGTTAAAAAAAACAACTTGTTGCATGTTATCTTACACAAGGTGAACATCAAGGATAAGATCTGCAAATAATGACAGAATGCACTAAAAAAGCAGCGTTCGTAAGAGCATGACTTAACTAGAATCAGTATAATCGTAGTCAACATTGAGACAATCACACACAAAATACCATAAATTCATTCGTTCAGAACAAAAAATAGTTCTTGTATCCAATGCATTTCCATCATAATAATAATTATTTGCATTAATCTGATAATAAGAACAGAACATTATCCAGCATTATTCTGCCATCATTTCAAAACTCGTCAAGGCATGTTCGATAGTTATCATTGTCTAGCTTAAAATTCATTCCATGAAGCAATGGATCTATTGATGTGCCTCTCTGTCACATCTTTTTACACACATTACATTTACATATAAATTAAGGGAGTTGGTATGGATACAACTTTTTTTTTTCTCTATCACTCCACACTTATATGTTGGCCGTGACACTGTGTTGATAAATAGGCATTTTGCGACTCTAATGTTCTTTGTCTTTCTTTTGTGCAGAACAGAAGAAGAAAATTCGACAAACATGTATGCACACCAAGGAAGATGAAGAAAGGAAGTATGAGAAAGAAGCGAACTGACGATAATAGAAGTTTCTCGAAACGTCGCAATATTACTAGCTTCGCATCAGTCACATTTCTTGGCCTCTATAAAAGGTGTGTGTGTGTGTCCTCCACTCGAACATACAGCTTTGAAATAAACATTAACAAGAGATTTCTTCTCTTCAGTATCTCTGCTCGTACAAATTTTGACAATCATGGCATTTTTTCCAATCGATCACTATCGAGGATCCACCGATCCCACAGATCGTTACTTCGGCAATCAATTGCATCTCTTCGATCCCTGGTGTGACGTAGATACGTTGTCAGCAGAATCGGATAAGGTACCTGTATCGTTTCGCTGGGTTAATCGACCACGACGTTTCACTCGCACATCGAGCCTCGGTGATCAAAATCAACATTACAAACATTCCGGTCAATCAGAGAAATTTCATGTGCAATTGAATGTGGCTGACTTCAATCCAGATTCGATCAAGACACATGTCGAAGGTCAAAATGTAATCGTCGAAGCTAAACAAGAAGATCGACAGCCCAATGGCGACTTTCACGTTCGAGAACTACGCAAAACCTACGAGTTGCCAGAACATGCTAGTATGTAGTTTCATTGATCGATTGATCAAAACTGACTGACTATTTTCTTACAATTAGATGCGCGTCACGTGGTCTCGTTCATCACTCCGCAACACATATTGGTCATTGAAGCACCGATTCGAAATCCTGAAAGAGAACGAGAACTGGCTGAAGTCGAGAGTAGCGAACAGAATCTGGCTCAGTTCGGTAAACATCTTGATCCTCAGTTTGATTATGGTGCTTTTCTCGGTGGTCCCTTCAAACCACACATTATCGACAACAATGGTCAGAAACAACTGCAACTCACCATGCCCTTGTTAGACCTTCAACCTAACCAAATTAAATTGTCTGTCAAGAACAACAATTTGATCGTTCAATCCGAAAACAAACCGAAGGATCCGAATAATTCTGAGCGATCATTCTTCTTTCAAACGGTAAAATTGCCACCGGGCACACAAGCCAAACAAATTCAATCGCATTTGACTCAGGATGGACAACTGAAGATCGAGGCTCCATTTGTGGAACTCAAACCAGACAGCAATCCCATTGAAGATCAAAAGAAATAAATGCATACTTTTCTCTGAATAATTCGCTCTCATATTTTTGTATTTTTCGCGTGTCAATGTAGAATAAACTAAACACGGTTCTATAGACTGTGCAGCATATCTGTGTTTTTTTTCAATCAATGAAATCAACATAAAAATCAAGGAAATACCTGATAATTAGAAGTGTTGAAACACTTATAGAGAGGCCATCTGTTTTTACATGATATATTGCTAAGACAACGTAAGTGACTACATCAAAGCCAGGAAGTGCCACTTAAAATATGCGATGACATATGTCAAAAGATGTTATAAACAACAGAGCTCGAAGGTGCGTGTGAGTTAGGTTGAAATAGGTGTGTGAGTGCGAACCTTCATTTCAATCAACTTGATTCTGAAGAATATTCATTGACTATTTATTTGTTCGATATTTATCATTGCCCTATGACAACCTGCGAATATTCATCACACTTGCATGAGAGTTACTCTTCTCATGAATACACGCTGCAGCATTTTTAGTTATATGACCATCACCTTCGGTAGTGTCAAATCTTTCAACTTCTCAAGTTTACTCTTCCATTTTGTCAAAATCGTTTCAATATAGTCATTCATATGTTCAGCTAAGTTTCATCGTAATTTTAGTAGTCTCCTTAATATTGCAATGTAAAACTTGGTCGAAAACATCTGAGATAACTTTGCGAATATTAATAATTGATGCTTCTTTTCAATCATCAATGACTTTTTACAGTAGATGCTAACAGCGGTCATCTAGTTGCGGTTTGGCCATGTTCTGTATGAACTCCTGTTTAACTGTCAGTTTGGTTAAATATTCTCCGAACTCAAGTCAATTTCCTTGGAACTATTTTGAACAGAAGCTTTTAGAATATTATATTACCAGTAAAAATTCTAGATGTGTTGAGAGTGTGAGTGTAGGTACTTCTTCTCTTCATGCACACTATTATTCGCAAACACAATCACCTATTCAACTACCGATATCCTAGAAATAGCAGCTGCTAAAACATGCAGTTATATATTGTTGATCATGATCTTACAGATCAGAAAATGCAGCTCTGATGAACTGCATTTAGACTTAGTTCCCCAGATGAAACAGTTGAATTTATTGTTTCAACATATCATATATAGACGGCTTGTTTTTCTCTTGTTTAAAAAAATTTTGTATGGATAAAAAAAAAGGAAAACATTATGAAGTAAAGCAAAATCATATTTCGAATAGTATGTTTAAAATGCGCTAGTCGAAATTAGTTTTATTCATTGGATAACAAATGGGAATTCAATCTCAAATATCTATACGAGTCAAATAATTCAATCTGTGTTGATTATGACGAGATGTAGACTTACTCGATAAATAGATAGGTCGTAAAAAAATGGTCTTGACATATTTGTTTTTCAGACGAGATCCACTCACATTTTTTCTATATATTCAAGAATTATGCTCGTGAGTATGTCTAAATAAGTTATTCATATGGCTTACTTGAACTTTTTCATAAAGTTTAATTCGAAATTCAGTAGCCTTCATAAGATGAATTACAAAAAGACCAACAAGTCAATTGTATTTTTCGAAATTATTGTGCCCGAAAGCACACTCCAAATAAGTACAATGTATCCATTTATTTTTGTACTCATTGATATTAAATGAACGCCATTCTCCATTATTTTCTTCGTTTCGATAATCAAGCTATTCACTTATCTCTCGTACAACTGTGCTCCCATGCTGTTTCAAATGTGCCATCCATTTTCATTTTTGGATGACCTTTAACAACACACCGGTAGTGTTCCCCGCGATAATGTGGCGTTACAAGGAACTGTAAAGATCATTACAAGAAATAGCATCGTATAGAAAAAAAAATCAATTTACTTTCTCATCATTGATGAATAACATGTCATATGAGTATCGATTGATAGTATTTTGACGCAGTTCATGAACACGTTGCATTTCATGAATCGTTTTCTACCAAAACTAGAATTTGAGCTTTTTAATTATGATTATCACAAGATTCAAATAAAAGTAGCGAATGCAAAGGAGAATTGAACAAATCAAGCATCACAAATAAAATAAACGAAGATGTGTATTAACTAGCACGTGTCTGTTTGTCATATCTTGATCTATTATATTACTGTAACCGATTCGATATTTCAAAGTGTAAACGTAATATGGAAAAAATATTGCATCAATTACAATAAGTGGATAGCAAACAGAGATACGTGAACATTAATAAAAATATTCATTGATATTATTTAATTATACAATCAAAATTTACTATAGAATGTTAAGATATTTCTATCATGGTAACAACAATAGTTAAGAAAACTCAAATTCTATCAGATAATAGATATTAGCATCTAATATGCATACTATTAATAAGAGTATTCTCTATGGCAAGAAAATAGTATTGATTACGAGCCAAAATTTAGATTGCTCTCTTTATACTTACTAAATTTTTGCACCGATTCCGATAGTTTGCCATTTGTATAGAATGATTTATTGTAGTAAGGCATTATCTCCAGACAATGAATAATTTTCTCCAATGTTTGAAGTGGTAGATTATTCAATAGTCTACAATAGTTTTAAATGCAATATAAATAGAAAAAGCAATGGTTTCTTCTTGAAAAATTCATTTTATCTTTGTAAATCGGAATGTGCGGTCGAATTGACTTCAATATTTGTTTCATGGCATTTATACCTAGTAGTACAAGCAGAATCCAATATGAACATTGAAATGCACATGCTCATATTTTCTGTTCGAAAGGTGTTATTTCAAGTGGCTTATCATTCTTTAACCAAAGATCCAAGTAACTGATGTGATCTTCTGGTGTTGTTAATTCTTTGCATGTTGTCGACGAAAACTCGATATTGTTTACAATATCAATAGGTTCGACTATCATCTGTTGAATATCTTCATAATTATAACCGCTTACAGTAGAAATTTGACAACAATTAAATAGATATTCTGTGAATTGCACGCTACGAGGACCAGCATTGGGATGCAAGTCCTCCAAGGTATCAAAAACTAAATAAACTTTTTTTATCTAAACGACAATATATGTGATACGGTGCATGTAGATTGCTTTCTTACTTCCTACATTTTGTTTACCTAACATGATTAAACAAATACTAGTAAGCACAAACAAATTTTGAAAAAAAAAACATACGAATGCATTCCAGATGTTGACATGATGAACGGTTTGCCTTTTTTCGACGCCGTTCTTGCTTCTCTAGAACAAAGACGAACATCATTTACATGAATACTGTTCTTTTCGACGTTCATTATTATAATTATAATTTTATCTTCGTACCAACTGTTCATTATTGTCTATACGGATATGCCCTCCAGCAAGTTAATATTAAGAATCCTAATCTGAAAAAAAAAATTGACGATTGTTTCCGAAGAAAAATATTGAGATTGAATAGTAGAATAACACACAATTACAGCATGTATATTTGACGTCGAAAAATTCAACTTTCATCTCATATTTTATTTGACGAGGCTATATATATGGAGGTAGTACAAAATGAAGAATGAACATAATCTTTACCTCTAACAGTAAATGAGAGATTGTTTTACGAACTATTTTCATCTATCATACTGACACTGAAGATGATAACGACGACTTAAACAAATATTAGTCTTATCATGAAGCAACAATTATAGAGTAAAGAGTTTTCATTTATGTTTTCGCATTTTATCTATGAATAGATCTTACATTATCGTCCAAATGGCTTTTGGCGAGTGTGCATCTTCTGTTCGCCTTCAAATTTCGTGCTTATCACACTCTTAATCTCTTACAAAGAACTTTGAACGAAAACATAAAATTAGTAAAAAAATGACCGATGAAGCGTTTTCTTCTCAGATGTATTTCTTTTCTATCGTTGTTCAATTTTGTTGTGAGAGCGAGATGTTGACAACGAGTTGAAGCCTCTTAACTATCGATGACTCAAATAAGGGACAAAGAAAACAAAGGAATCTTTTTAGAGAGAGGGAGAGAGAGAGAGAAAAACACAATCTATGCAGAGATCTGGGAGATTCTCCAGCCTTTTCTAATTCGATTTCTTCGATGAATAGATCATTTTCAAACGACTTCACTGATTAATGAAACGGCGTTGAAGCTTATTTTTTCAATCTGGATATTCATTGATTGTATCATAGCCATAACATCGATATTGATCATATTGTGGTAATGTAACAAGCAATCGGAATGATAGAAAACAATTTTTTTGTTTTCGATTCATTTTAAAACATAAAAATGGTTCGAATCTTTATTTCACTCGTTTCAAATATAGATGCAATCTACTACTCTAGGCATCAAGAAACTCATCAAGTTTGTCTTCATTCAACATTCTTGTTTGAAATCTGATCTTTCTATAGACTAATATAGAGAAACTCGTGGGTGATTTCTGCTATTTATCGAGCAATCAAAGCTGTAGCTTGGTGAAACCCGTCGAGTTTGATTAGAAGTATTTCGAAATGTTCTTCTACTCAACTGCCAATCAATTTTATTTTCATCGTAAGAATGTTGAAATAACATTTTCAATCCACTGATCATCATGTTATTTGAAAGGGTGACTGTTGATCCATTTCTCTTATTGAACTGAGAAACAATATTCCATCACTTATACTATTCATCGCGCAGGTGCATTTGAAAATAGAGAGAGTTTTCCGTTGTATTCTTTTATCTTATAGATCAATTATACAGTATTACAAAATGACCAATATTTCATTAGTTCTATTTGATTTTCATGATCAGTATTTTCTTCCTTGGTAATACCATTTCGAACGTTGTCAACACACTGATTCAGCTTCACTTTATCAAAGTATTGATTTTGTTCTGCTTGTTTTTTTTTTGA